GATCCTGGGCTTTCACGCAGGAGGTGGAAGGGGACCTTTAGAAAGGGAGGGGAAGGTCAAGGCCGGTGACCGTCTGCCATGTGCCAGTCCGCATCATCTCTAACCCACCTCACAACCCATCAAGGTTGGTATCTCAACACCTCAGCTCGTGGAGATCAAGCCACCTGCTCAAGCTCTACAGCCAGCCAACGGTGACCCCAATCTAAAGCCAGTCTTGTCCAGCCAAAATAAGTCCCTGAAGTCCTTTTTATTTCCTGAAATCCTCATTCTGGCCAAAGTTTATCACCGAGATAAAGTTATTGTAACAGAAAAGGATATGTCCCACTCAGTTTTACACCTCTGGTTGGGAGAATGTAATTATAAGGACCTTGATATCAAGAAATCAAAGGGGAGTGTTTCAAGGGAAAGAGAGACAGGAAACCTCAAATCATGGTTAAAAAAAAAAAAAGCCCATTGGATATGAGGGTCCCCAGGTCGTCATGACCCTCCTGAGCTCCTTTTCTGTAACTTGGAGGAAACAGGAGGCAGGGAGGGACAGTGGGGAGGTGATGAAGGTGGTGTGAGGTATGGCAGCAACAGGGGCGAGTCATGAATATTAATTTTTTTTTTTTTTTAGAAAATACATTTATTCATTTCATTATGTCCTGTTTTGGGTTTGCTTTTTTTTTTTTCTTCAGTTTTATGAGATATAATGGATACATAACACTGTATTAGTTTTAGGTGTACGACATGGTGATTTGATATGGGGTCAGGCAATTAAGTCTGCGAACTTGTTGCAAGGATGTTGCTAACCTTTTTATTATAAATTTGTACCAACTGGACAGACAGTTAACCATGTTTACTAGTTGGAAGTGCTGAAAAGGCTGNGTTCCTCTCCCTCTCCACTCCTCAAATCTGATGTAGATACGGGCTCCTTCCCTGGTTCCCCCCACTAGTTAGCCCCTCTCCCCACTTCCTGCCAGGCCTCACTGCACACAGCAAGCTCTGCTTCACATTAATGTTGGGTCTGGATTCCTCCTTCTATACTGACTCCTTAGAGCAGGGATAGGGCTCATTCAACTCTGAATTCCCCAGGAGGGGGTTCTGCACACAGTAGAAGTCATGGAAGGCTCCAGTAAAGAGTGGCGGGCAGGGCCCACTCCCTAAGCGAGCCCAGGCACCAAGACGGGTCCGCGAGCAGGCCCTGTGCCGTGGGGATGCCCACCAGGCCCCTCCCCTCCTCGCTGCCAAGGCTCGCAAGGCCGTGTATGTCTCCAACCCCCAACCCAGTTTCTCCCTTCACTGAAGAAAAGACGAGGACATAGCACCTGCGTCCAGAGCACTCAGCCAAGAGGAGACAGAGCCGTCCTGGGTAAGGACTGCACTTCCGGACTCACCATGTTCATGACAGTGAGGATGAACCTCTGAGCAGCCTCAGCCCCGTGGTACTGCACCATGTCCGCGTCGGCCACCACCAGGGTCTCCACCGTGTGCTCGGTGGTGAGCCGGATGGCGTTCCTCCGCTCGCGCCAGTCCCGGGACGGCCTGCCCTTCCTCGCCTTCTTCTTTTCTAGAAAACAATGAAGACATTAGTGCCATCCTTGGCATGCTGGTTTTCAACAGGCCTTCCATTGAGGCTCCCCTCGAGAATGGTCGGTCTCCGCTGGCCAGGAGATGGACCTCTGTCATCACAGGGGAGCCAGCGCCCACTCACTAGAGGTAGAGCTGATGGGGCAGAAGTGAGAACACTCAGGAGGCCAGACGTCAAGAAGGCTCACACC